CACTTCAACTGAGGGTACGAAGATGTGTAAATTGTAATAAACAGTGCAAAATTTTGTAGAAAACACTACTTGACTTAAGCTGCAGCAATGTGAGTAATGAATCTGCTTAACAACAGTGCAGTGTCACATTTCTGTGAAATTCTCAAAGGGAGGCAAAAGCAAGTGTCACTGATTTGGCTTCTTGTTAAAATTTCAGGAAAAGAAAAAGATTTCACTGAACCAATAGACAGCAGTGATTTTGTTAGTATTAAATCCAGGAGTGGTCACCTCGCCGTACCATGTCACGCCAATGCCACTGCTCTGTTGAAAATGCAGTTCCCAGTAACACTAAACCTAGTACCAGGAAGGAACTAAAAGTTTAATGAAACAAAAGATAGTTTATTTGGGAAAAAAAGATGAAAAAGAAAGAGGATAGATAGTTACCATGGTGTGGTAGGGGTCATCAGAGCTGAATGCCCAGGAGCTCTTATTCCTGGCTTCTTTTATTTAGGTTTGGCATCTTCCCGTCCCCCTGGGGGGCACTTGTGCTTATCTGATTTCTTCTCTTGAAAGTCTTTGACCTTAATCTAGTCATGTCTGCCTACATTGCTTCTGGCCATTTGGTTTCTTCCTATCCTTTTGTAATGAATAAATGAAAGCAAGCAGGCTTATGGTTAGGGTTAGACTTAATGATTAAGTATGAGGACATGTGTATATGTGTGTATCTGGTACAATGCTATACTGATGTTAAGATGGGAACGTACATAAATGTGTACATGTGTAGGTGCATATGTGCCTGTGTGTAGGCATGACTTACATATTAAATAAGAGCCCTTAGGTGGTTGTCCCTTATCTCCCATGCGTTCTGTCAGGTGGATGAGAGGAACTGGCTTTAATGGTCCTTCACTTGCCTGGTTTCCTCATTGTCCAATTAAGTTCTTGTGGTGATTGTGTTACTTCCCCTCTCTCAGTCTAGCTTCTCTCTCCCTCCTTTGTCTTTCTAATTACCCTGACCACAGAGTCTACCTTCAGAGGCAGAAACTGCTTTTAGTTTTTCTATTGATTTATTTTTTTATTTTTTTATTTTTTTTTGGTTTTGGTTTTTCTCCAGTACCGGGAACCGAACTCATGACCTTGCGCTTGCCAGGCAGGCGCTTTGCCACTGAGCTAAATCCCCAGCCCCTTTCTATTGATTTAATAAAACTCAATAAGGCCTTCATTCTATCTTTTCCCTACCTGTGGGACCTCGTCCCTACATTGGCACAAGTCATCCTACACAATAAACATCTTCTTGTCTCCCTCAAATCAGCCACAGAGGTTTTCAAAGGTAAGTGCAGGTTGATTTGTTTATATTTATTTATATTTTGTATTTTCTCTATTATCTTCTATTATATTACATTATTGTAATTATTTTTATATCAGTTTTTTGTGCTTTGGAATGAATCATCCCTGTTGTCATACTTTCTTATGGGGAAATTTGCTTGCATACACAAGTGCTTTGGATTACAAATATGTTCCCAGAACAAATTTTGCTCACAAACCAAGGTTTTACTGCACTAACAAAAGTAAAAATTTTAAACACATTTTTAAAAATTGGAAAAACAGCATTAAGGAAAAGAATAAGACTGTTTCCGTAGTCTGACAATTTTTATTAAATTAAAAGCAAGCAGGGTGTGGTGGTGCACGCCTGTAATCCCCAGCACTTGGGGAAGCTAAGGCAGGAGGATCGTTGGGAGTTCGAGACCAGCCTGGGCTACAAAGTAAGCTCAAGGCCAGCCTGAACTGCATAGGAGGCCCTGTCTCAAAAAACAAACAAACAAACAAACAAAAGAAACAAAGCTGAAAAGTAGCCCCATCAGCAATAGGACAATTTTCAATATTAAATTAAAAGCACCTGCACTTGTATATAGCATGTACATCTGTCCACGGCTATTGTGCTTTCTGTATATTCAAGCAATTCAGAGTTTAAATAAAACCTAAGACACCAAATTTGAAACTGAAACAAGTACTGCATGGGAACATATAATTTTTAGTATTTTTTAGTGTCAGAGTTATTTTAAAATTCTTAATAGCCTAATCAAAAAGTGGTGCTGGGAAAGCTGGTTATCTGATTGCAGAAAACTTAAACTGGACCCATGTCTCTTACCATGTGCTAAATTAAAATAAAACTGCATTAAAAATCTAAACAGTAAAACAGAAACATTAAACCTACTGGGATATAATATAGGTAAAATACTTATAGATGTAGGAAAGGATTTTCTAAACAGAACCTTAATTGCACAAGAAATAAGAGTAAGGATCAGCAAATGGATTATATCAGAATAAAATACTCTGTGCAAGAAAAGAATCAATTAGTAGAGTGAAGAGACAAGCTACAGTATAGGGAAAAATATTTTTGCTAGTAACTCTTCAGATAGAGAACTATTATCTAGAATATGTAAAGAACCCCTTCTTCTACAAAGGGTGGAATATTTGGAGTCAAACTTTCCTGGAAAGTCAGTGCAGTTTACAGATATTACTCGTTCTGGACTTTTTGGCAGCAAAGAGATTGTATGTCCTGCCCTATATTTTCTTTATAATCATCCATTCTGTTTGCCGAGGGCAACATTTAGTGATTTCCTATTATTTGTAAAGGGTGGCATATTTGCTGAGATGGTCTCTCTCAGGTCAGGCATGACAGGCAGAAGAATAATTCACCAATCAACAATCAAGGCAAAAAGACGAGACAGAGAGAGAGAGAGAGAGAGAGAGAGAGAGAGAGAGAGAGAGAGAGAGGGGACTAAATATGTGGGGTTGAGGATATGGGAAAATGTTCTATCCAGCAAATATGATTATCTAAAGAATGTATTTCCCAGGATCATTTGGCACTTTGCAGCTCTTCCAGGAGCAATTGTTATCAGTTACAATTCTGATTAGGTCATTCTCCTCTGCCCCATAGATGTTTAGCTTTAGATAAAGAGGTGATAAGGACATCTAGACATATCCTTTAGAGGAGATGGACCCTATTGTTTGGAAGGAACAATTGGACCTGACACCATAGATTCATTGCTATTTAGACTACTTACCAAGAGATGTCTTTAACTAGGTTTCCTTTGTTAAACAGAATTGGGTAGTTAAATCTTTTCATTCTTTTCATTGTCAGTAGATGGCTACTGGATTGAGGTTCTATTTTGCTGGCAGATATAATGATACTTAGAATTTAACTTTGTTTCAATAAACATCTTGCCTTTGGATGGATGGAGTCTGAGTAGTTTCCCCAAAGAAGAGATAGGGAATCTTAGCTCATCCCCCTCAGGTAGGTTCTCCAGTCTCATGCCCCAAAAAGAATATCAGGGCCCTTCCATGACAGATATAAAAAGGTTGTATTTATCACTGTTAAAGACATGGCGTTTCATATCTGTTCCTTCTGTCTGAGATAGTTTCTTTCTAGCAACACATAACCAAATATCACTTTCTACCTGCAGAAAATTATAACTATTTTCAGACACCCAGGAATTTCTGTCCTTTTCCTTCATAAATTCTTTGTAACATAGATGCTTAGTATACACTTGATAAATCATGAGGGCCAAGTCTGAATTTCTTTAGTTGGATCCTCTTGCTTTTATTCTTCATCTTGTATTATGCAGTTCCTTGAACTCTGGCTGGGGCATGTAGCTCAGCGGTAGAATGGTCGCCTATGTGTAAGGCTCTGGGTTCCATCCCAGGTATGGTCAAATAAGAAACAAACAAACAAAAACAAGTCTGGCAGGTTTGCAGCTAACTCCAAAAATTTCTTCCACAAAGACATTCAGTTAACGCTCAAAAAATATACTTCTGAAACAAAACTAACCAGAATGTTGCAGGTACTTTTAAAACAGATTCATAATCATTATTTTGTCTACAATGATGACTTTATTAATCTTGTCCATGTATGTTAGTGTAGTCGGGATGATTTGGTGAAAATAACACACATTTGCAATGATCTAAAGTAAAGCTTTAGCAGGGGTTGGTGGCGCATACCTGTAATGCCAGCCCTCTAGGAGGCTGAAGCAGGAGGATCGTTGTGAGTTCCAGGCCAGCCTTGGTTACAAAGTAAGCTCAAGGCCAGCCTGAACTGCGTAGCGAGATCCTTTCTCAAAAAGACAAAAAAAAAGGTAAACCTCTAAGAATTTTTGTACTTTTAAATATTTCTATTTAACATTAATTTTAGAATCCTTCATTTAAACTATTCCTATAATGACAACATTTGAGTACTGAATTTGACACATATTACACAATTTGACATCCTTAATAAATTAATCCATCAAATATAAACTGAGTCTGTTACTTCTGTAATAATACATTTAACTATGATGACGCTGGCATGAAATTCTGAAGAAGGTAGATTTTAAACTAATTGAGTCTGGCTTTGTAATTTACATTACAGATAACCTATCAGAACTTGCAAAGGTTTCCTTCAGGAGTAGTCTAAGAACAAGCTGAAGCCCAGCCTTGACAAGATAGGGAATTCCTGAGAGACCTGTCTCAAAAAAGGATGTGCAGCCATGGATGATGTTCATCATCTGTAATCCCAGCCTTTGGAAGCCTGAGACAGGTGGATAGCTGTGAGTTCGAGGCCAGGCTGTACTGCATAGTGTAGCCGAAACCTGTCACAAGAAAAAAAGAAGGGGTGAGGATGTATGGATTCAATCCCATTAAAAAAGGGTATGCCGAACTTGGTATATCCTAAGTGCTTGGTAATATTTTCTATGTGTTGCTTGTTGATTTTCCCCCTCAGGATTGGTAATTAAACTCAGTGCCTTGACATGAAGCTACATCCCAGGCTTTTAAAAAAAAATTATATAGTAAGACAGGTATGTTTTAAATTGATAAAGTGCCAAACTGAGCTCGAATTTGTGATCCTCCTGGCTCCTAATCCCATAATCCTGGGATTACAGGTGTACCTCTTTCCCTAGATAATGACGTAGTACAAAGACACCTAGGCAGCCGGTCCCAGCATGCCTTGCGTGAGGGGCGGGGCTAAACTAAGGGCCTCGCCGGTGGTCCGGTCGAAGGAGGCTAAGCAATGGCCGACGGCTGTTACACAGAAACGGTAAATAAGGAAAACTGAAACCTAGTTGTGTATTTAACGTTGTCTGAACGGTGAGGTAAAGTCTCATCCGTTCATCACGATGGAAGACTCGGCTTCTCGCCATGAAGGTGTTGTATCTGGCTCCTCACGCCCAAGTCGGGCCAGCGGAACTGCTGAGGAAGAAGCGGACCCTGGATGGGTGAACAAGCTGACTGAAGAAGCTTACCAACTTGTGAAGGATACCCGATTCCCAGGAGTCAGAGGCAAAAGGAAACGAGTGAAGTTGCTGGAAAGACAACCAACTGCACGGGACAGGCCAAGGGAACCAGGTGAAAATGTTCTTCCGTTGCTCTTGAAGGGGGAATTGAACGGATGGATGGGCAACTTCTTAGTTTTAATGGGTAAATGTGAGAAATAGCGTTGAGGTTGTCAGTTTGCCTCTCGTAGGACGTAATTCCCAGTACCTACAATTTAAAGGAGAGAGGTTTAATAATGACTTATGATCTTGGAGTATTCAGTACTTAGTTACCAACTTTAAAGGCAGAAACAGACTTTCCAGTTGAAACTCTCTCGTCTTTTTTAAAGATGAGAATTGCTTTTTTCCTTCTAATTAATTGGGGCGATAACTGTGGATTCAAATGCAGTTATAAGAAACAATGCTGAGAAGTCTTGTTTGTCTCTCACATAGTTTCCCCAAATGGTGAAATATTTCAAAATGATAGAATAGCGTCACAAACAGAATATTTTCATTGTTCTACTGTTTGCGAAATTGGTCCATGTATTTTAAGGTATTAAATTTATGACTGTCAAAATCTTTGTGTTATTTCCTTGTAACACTTTAAATTGCTTCAGGATGATTAATGATATTCTTTGATTCATTCCTGATAATGGTGATGTGTGTTGCTTTTTTTTTTTGTTGTTAGTTTTACTAGGGGTTTGTCAACTTCATTAATTTTTTTGTAGGTGCAGGTTGTTGTTACATATCTCCATTGGTTTGTTTTATATATCACTGAATTCTGGTCTTCATTATTTATTTTCTTTTGCTTATCTTTAGTTTATTTTGGTAATGTTTTTCTAACTACTTTCCTTATTTTGAGATGTTTTTTACTTTGAGATATCACTGAGGTGTGTGGTATTTAGTTTTCCTGTGTAGAAAATTTCCTGTTGTCTTCAGTTGATTTCCAGTTTGTGGCCATTAGGATTAGATAACATCTTCTGTATGTTTTTAATTATTTTACATTTATTTCAAGTTGTTTCATTAGTTGAAGATAAATTTTATCTTGGTGATTCTTTCAAAGATGTGAAAAATGTGTATTCTGCTTTTGCTCGTGTTTTTTATATATATATATTATATAGTTCATTTAGATTTTGTTGTTAGTTTTGCTGCAAATAATTTGAGGCTCTATTATTTTATATTAAACTTAAAACTGGGCATTTGGGTTGTTTCCAAGATATAGCTATTACAAATTGTGCTGCCATAAACATGGCTGCACATATGTAGCTGTGGTATGATGTCTTTAGTTTTTCTGCAAAAATGCCCAGAAGGGGAATAGCTGGGTTAAATGGGCCCTGTAATCCTAGTTTTTTGAGGAATCTCCACCCTGATTTCCACAGTGGTTGTACCTGTTTGTACTCCCACCAACAGTGGAGAAGGGTTCCTTTTTCCCCACAGCCAAAAATGAGTTATTTTTATACAATGGAGTACTATTCAGCTATAGGGAAAGATAAGCTTGAGGCTTTTATAGGTAAATGGATGCAATTTGAGACCATACACATAAGTGCTATAAATCAGACTTGCATGTGTAAACATCATGTTATTGCCCTAGTGTAAGAAACTGAAAGAGTCAATAAGATCAAAAAGGTACAATAGATATTGTGAAAAGGAAAGAAACTGCTCAAAAGGAAAAAACAAGTGGGATAAGGGAATGGAAAAAAGAAAGAAGGGAAAAAATATATATATCATATATATACATGATATATATATCATATATATATCTTGTATATATATATAAGATGGCTAAGATAATTGCATTACTAATTTCTATTAGTTCATTGAAAGGAACAGTTAGTGTTCATATTTTTAATCAATTTTGCATGCCTATATCTGGTAATCTGAGCAACTACTTTGAAGATAACAGCATGCAACATAATAACCATTGTTAATTTCCTATCATGTTGTTTTGAAATTCTGTATCATTTTTATTGCTTTTTTTTTCCCTCTCTTTAAAATAAAAAAGACGGCGCTGGGGATTTAGCTCAGTGGCACAGCGCCTGCCTGGCAAGCGCAAGGTCGTGAGTTCAATTCCTGGTACCGGAGAAAAACCAAAAAAAAAAAAAAACAAAAAAACAAAATAAAAAACACTTTTATGATCCTTTTATCATTATATATATTTCTATTTGCTTCAGGTAATATATTTTTGTGCTGACATTTACTTTAGTTGATATTAATACAGTCACTTTTCATTTTATTCTTATTACATTTTCCACTATATACCATTTTTATGATTTTTTTAAATTTGTGTATGTTATTAAATTTGAAATGGTTTTCATGTAAATAGAATTTACTATGAATGTGGTTTTTTTTCCTCTCTACATCTCTACATTTCAATGTAAAATTAAGGTAAATGTTGACATTTTAGGACTTTTTGATTTGTTTGCTTTCTATTTGTTCACTTCTATTTTGGTTTCTATATTTTTGTTACCTTTATATTTTATCTCCCTGTATATTTTTTGAACTCTTGTACCACTCACTCCTTCCTTTCTTTGAAACAGGTTCTTGCTAGGTAGTTCAGGCTAGCTTTGAACTCTCTGTGTAGCCCAGGTTGACCTCAAACTCATGGTAATCCTCCTGCCTCAGCCTCCTGAGTGCTGGGATTATAGGCATGCACCACCACACCTGGGCTTTTCCTTGTATTTTATTTCTAAAATTGATTTTTGTTTTCAATTTTCTATTAGTACATATTTGCAAGACCTAATGTTTGGATTCACCTTAGGGAATATGTAATTAGCATATCTTATGTCTTGTTATTGCCTTTTCCCTTCCTTCTCTCCTCTACCCTCCCTTTCTAGATCCCTTCTCCATTTGCAAAAGATTTATCTCTATTTCTCGTATTTTCTTTTTAAAGTATTTATCCTTTGTGTTTCTCACATAATAGAAGTTGTGCAATATTTAAGCTTGTATGTCCGACTGATTTCACTTAATATTATGGTGTAGAGGTGCATCATTTTTGCTACAGATTGCTCAAATTTATCCTTCTGTGTAGCTAAGTAGTACTCTCTAATGTACGTATACCACATTTTCTTTAGCTGTTCATCTGTTGCTGGATATATAGACCACTTCAAAGATTTAGCTATTATGGGATGCACTGCTATAAATATGCATATTCAGTGTCACTGTGATATGTCTTTGACTCTTTGGGGAAGATACCAAGAAAGGGAGTAGCAAGCTAAAATGGAATTTCTAGTTTTAGTGTTTTGAAGGATTTGTATTTCCTTTTGAATGTATCACTTGATATTTACTTCTTACTAGTTTCTCTGGTTACTACCGTGCACATGTAACTTAATACACTGTCCTGGGATAGGTGCTTTATCAATTTGAGTGAAGGATAGAAATCATAATTCTGTTTAGATTCCTTTACTGTTTCAATTATAAATACTGTTTTGAGTACCTACTGGTGTTAAATTTTTGTTTTGACTATAGCATACAATTTAGAAAACTTCTTAGAAAAATAGTATTTTCCTCTTCCCATGTGGTAAATGTTTCCTTTGTCATTTGTACTTAGAAACTTAATTTTGCTGTGTTTTGTAGACTTCTTTACCTTTCCTCTAGTTAGGGTTTGCTTACTTTTTCTTTTAAGTGCAAGAAACTTTACTTTTTAAATATTTTTATCGGTAAATGTTTATAATGCATGATGTTTAGTAGTTTTCACTAGGTAATGTTATGGCAGAGTAGCACTCCATTAAGTATAAATAACAGATTTTCTCTAGTCAGTCATCTGTTGATGGATATGTAGGCTGGAAACAAACCTTAGCTATTATGAGTAATGTTGTAATAAACATGGTATGCATGTATTATTGTGGTGGTATTATATCTTAAAATAGCTGGGGGAGATACCTAGAATAGGAATTTCTCAAAATCTCCCCTCCCCTCTCTCCCTGCTCTCCTCCCTCTCCCCCTCTTCCTCTCCTCCTCTTCTTTCCTTTCTCCTTTCTCTTTGTCTACTTGCTCTCTCCTGGATCTCTCTGCTTGCTCTTTCTGCTTGTGCTCACTGTCTCTCTGTCTCTCTCTCTCCCCCTTTACTCTGTCACTCTCCCTCTCCCCTTCCTCCTCCTCTCCTTTTCACCTCCCTCTCTCCCTCTCTTGCTTTCTGATTCCTTTCTCTCCTTTCTTCCTTTGAAATGTTTATTTTTGCTCCCTGGGCACTATTATAAGCACTTAGAGGATATCAGGGCATCAAATAGACAAAGATTGCTATTTACACGCTTGTTTCAGGCAAGGCAAAGAGAGATATAGTCAATAAGGCATTGGTAGAATAAGTTTAAAACAAGTAACATAACATTGAAATGTAAAAGTAACATTGTTTCTCTGCAATGAGTACTCTCTCCTGAGTAATAATTCTTAAGTAAATTTCATGTTTCTAAAGGAAGTTACTGTTTCATTTAGTCAGTTTAATAGATAAGAATTTGCTTTTGCTTTTTTTCCTTACTTTTTTATTAGTGCATGTTTTCCATACATGATGATCACATTCATAGTGGGAAATTTGTACCACTACACAATATATTTTAGTTCTTTTTTCCCATTCTCCTCCCCTCCTCTCCTTTTAACACTTCTCCCCCTCCCCATTTACAAAAGTTTGTTTCTATTTTTCCATTTAATTTTCTTTTTTAATCCTTTTTCCTTTCCTTCCCTCCCTGCCCCCCTTCCCTTGTCCCCTTTCCAATTTGAACATGTTCTTCCTGCGCCCAGTATCCGTCCTCCATGTTGCTCCATATTTACCCTTTGGGTTTTTCACACAAAAGAAACAATGGAATATTTAAATTAGTGTGTCTGATTTATTTCAATTAAAATTATTGTCTCAAAATGAATTCCTTTACCTACCAAGAGCATAGATTAGGAAGGAATGTAGGTCAAAAAGAGAAAAGAGAAGAAAGATCAAAAGCATGTAATAAAGGGAAAAAAACTTCAAAAATAAAAAAGTTAAAGTTAAAAAATAAAATTGATATAGAAGTAAGAATCAAAGAAAGAAAGAAAAAAACAGAGAAAACCCAGAACAGACACATAAGCAGGAGAACACCCCTTCCCACTAGCTTACAGCCAGATGTTTGTCATTTATTCTTTATGGCAGAATAGTATTTCATTGTGTGTAAACAACACATTTTCTTTATCCATTCATCTGTTGATGGGCATATGGGCTGTTTCAAAGATTTAACTATTATGAATTTTGCTGCTACAAGTGTGGGTCTTCATATATCACTGTGGTACAGTGTGGTAAGTTGGGAAGGTACCTAGAAGTGGGACAGCTAGGTCAAATGAAACTTCTAGTTTTAGTTTTTTGAGTATTCTCCTTTCTGATTTCTATAATGGTTGTACCAATTTATGTTCCCATCAATGATGGAGAAAAGCTCCCTTTCCCCCACAGTCTTGCCAGCATTTGTTACTGGTTGAGTTTTTTGATGATATCCATTCTTTCTGGAGTGAGATGGAATGTCAGTGTTTTCTTTCTCAGTGTTGTTTTAATTTGCATTTCTTGAATGACCAGTGATGTTGAACATTTTGTCATATATTGATTTGCTGTTTGTATTTCTTCAACTGAGATGTGTCTATTAATTTCAGATGCCCATTTTTGGATCGCATCTTTAAATTTGGGGGGTCTGATTTTATTTTTAGTTCTTTGTATATTCTAGATATTAGTCCTTTGTCTAAGTATTACTGGTAAAAGTTTTTTTCATTCTGTGAGCTGTATCTTCACTCTGCTGGTAATTTCTTTCGTTGTGCAAAAGCTGCCAATTTGATGAGATCCCAGTTGTTGATTCTAAAATACAAATAAAACACTACTTATTCTCTTTTGTACCCATACAGGCACCTGTTGTAGGTATGTCACATGAAAGGTAAAAAACGAGTGAGGGAATATAGGAGGAATATGTAAAATAAGGAATGGCAAAGAGCATAGGTTAGGAAGGAATGTAGGTCGAAAAGAGAAGAAAGATTAAAAGCATGTAATAAAGGGAAAAAAACTTCAAAAATTAAAAAAATTAAAGTTAAAAAATAAAATTGATATAGAAGCAAGAATCAAAGAAAGAAAGAAAAAAAACAGAGAAAACCCAGAACAGACACATAAGCAAGAGAACACCCCTTCCCACTAACTTACAGCCAGAATGTTCACACATTTTTCTTCCTGCTGTAGTCATAGCCCACTTGAGAAGAGCCAGGTCAGCTTTCTGCTGTCTTTCGTCTACCTGACTTCCTGCCTTGGAGAGGTAAGGATTGTCTCTCTACCTGGATCCACCTCCTGGGTGCAAGCAGTGCTTTGGACGTTAAGTACAGACCTTTGTCTCTGTCCTGAGAGCCAGCCACTTCAGTTAATTTTGGAAAAGGACTATGTAAAATAGGTTTCCCTGCTTCCGGGTTCCCTCTACTTCTGCAAATGCCCTCTCAGTCTAGCTCCCTGGTTTCTGTGCAAATGTCATCATTGTGTCCGTGTTCCGGTAGGAGCTCTCTGCCTGCTACATCACTGGAAGCTCTCGCTCCAGCCAACCCCTTCTGTTCCTTTGCACTTAGATTCCCACCCATTCCTGCCTCAAGAGCTCCACTTTCCAATCCCCAGAACTTGCTTTAGTTGGCAGGCATGGCAGAGGGCCTGCTTTGCCTATGCAGGACAGTAGGCAGCAGATAGGATTTCCCACCGAGTCAGATCTTTCCAGTCTTTGGGGGAACAATGGAAAATCACCCATGCTGTACCGACTCTGTTCAGTCTCCCAACTCCCTAGTGTCTCCAGGCATGTGATCCATAGGTTCCTGCCATCAGGCTTGGTGCCACCCACAGTTCACAGAGTTCAGTCTCTGCCTAGGGCAGAGGACTTTGTGGATGCACGGTGGTGGGGGGTGGGTAGGATGCTGCCAAGCACAGCGTTCCCAGTGTTTGGGAGGATGTGGGGGAGCTGCTCATGTGCATGTTGCTATCTCCTTTTTCCAGCGGCCCCAGTCACAGTTTACTCCAATGCCAGGTTTCCTCTTCCAGGTGGGAGGCAGAGTATGTAGAGAGTCTATCCCAGGAGCCTGGCCTGTACAGTGCAGTCTCCCCTCCCTCATGCTGTTTGACTGCTCCCAACATGATGCGCACCCTCAGTAAAGGATTCCAAGGGAGGGAGGCACTGCCCATGGCAAATTGCTTTGGTTTTTCAACAGTCCAGATATTTGATTTTGATCTACAGGATTTATTTTTCAGATTACTTTTCCTTTTCTGGGTATGATTGCCTCCCGTATAACAGAACACCTGTAATTTTTTTTGCGACACTTCTCTAAGTATCTCTAATGTAGGTCCTCTGATCAGCCCTGTGGGAAACTTAGTTAAATGATTTGAAACACAGAAATCTTGTTTAATTTTGGCACTATTTATGGGAGTTTTATTTTGGAAAGCAATCCTGTGTATTACCAAAGCAATCAGTCAAAAATCTAGAAGTACTATGGTAGACTACGGAAGATAAGACAATAATATACAGTAATTTGAACTAAACTACCAGCAATGATATTTTGAGGTTACCTTCTATGATTTTGTTAGTATTTAGGTAGTGGACTGAAAGAAATATATTCTGAGAAGCCCTAAACAGTGGTATGCTAGACACTATACACGAAAATCGTTGAAAATAGATTCTTCTCAGAATCTCTTTATTAAATCTATGAATTTATCAAGGATCAGCTCAGTCCTTTGAAGTGGCATTGAAACTATCCTGTCTTATAAATTTGGACTAAGAAATTCATGAAAGGGTTAACTGTGTAAGTGTAAAATATGTTGGAAACTTTGAGTCTTCAAGCACTCATTCTTTTCTCACTTTTTTGGAAACAAGGTTGCAGAGTAGTATTTTATGATGTTCTTACTTCTCTTAGCTATTTTCTGACTTCTTCCTCCTTTGTAGTGACAGGTGCACAAGTATCTTCAGATGACTGTTATGAAACAGTGGGACTTACCACTTTTGAGGAAACTGAAGATGTGACAGAAAATGAGGAAAGAGATGAGCCATCTTGGACACTAGGAAATTAGAGGAATTTTATTAGTTTTTGGACAGTGGGCTGAAAGAAATATCTGTTGACATGCCCTACAGAGTGGCATGTGAGACTCTGTACATGAAAAAATATTGAAAGTAGACTTTTTTCAGATTCTCTTTTTAAATCTATGAAATTATCAAGGATTGAGTCAGTCTTTTTAAATGGAATTGAAGTGATCTTGCCTTTCCTTATAAATTTGGAGTAAGTTGTTTATGAAGCAGTTGTCTGGGTAAGGGTAAAATATGTTGAAAAGTTTCAGTTTTTAGCACTCATTCATTTCTTCTTTTTTTGAAACAAGATTATAGAATAAAATGTTCTGATTCTTTTCTTAGTTTTTTTCTGTCCCCCTCATCTTTTGAAGTTATAGGGGCCCAAGAGGCTCCAGATGAGTATGGTGAAAGAGAGGTAATTTCCTGTTCTGAGCAAGGTGTTTCTGAGACAGAAAGTGAGCAAAGAGGTGATCCATCTTGGACATTAGGAAATCAGGCAAACAGTATTAGAATTAGGACAGTGGTATGAAAAAGTATAACTGACATGTCTTACACACTGTTGTGTGAGACTCCTTACATGACAAAATATCGAAGACAGATTTTCCTCAGATTCTTTTTAAAAAGGTTTTTTAGTTTTATGTTAAAGAGAGAAAAACAATTAAACTAATGATACAGAGTTTAAAACGTGATAGTGCATGATTAAGAATGGTTAAAATGATATATATTGTTACCTGCAATGTAATTGCTCAGATTACAATACATAGGCATTAAAAATACTCAGACACTATAGGCACAAGCTATTCTTTTAACAAACTTAGAAGAATTAATAGCATAATCATCTTAGCTATCTTGTGTCAGTCTGTCTGTCTGTCTATTTACATTTTTTCTTTTCCTGTCCTTCTTTTCTCCTCTGTTCCATCACAATTCTTTCTGTTTCAGTAATTTCTTCTTCTTTAGCAATATCTATTGTATGTTTTGGATCTCATTTACTAATACATTTTGTTGCAGTAGGGAGGCAGTATGATTTATTTACACCTGTGAGTCTGATTTATTTCACTTATGAGTATGGTCTCAAGTTGCATCCATTTACATATAAAAGCCTTGTTTATACTTCTTTAAACCTGAGTAGTACTCTACTCTATAAAAATACCATCTTTCTTGTCCATTCCTCAATTGGTGTGCATTTGAGTTGTTTCCGAGATTTAGATTTTATTAATTGTGCTTCTATAAATATGGGTGCACATATATTGCTCTGGCGTGATGTTTTTAATGCCTTAGGGAAAATTCCCAGAAAGGGAATAGCTGCCTCAAATGTGACCTCTCATGCTAGCTCTTTGAGCACTCTTCACACTGATTTCCACAGTTGTTGTACCAGTCTACACCCCCACCCACACTGGAGAAGGGTACCTTTTCCCCTACAACCCTGCCAGCATTTGCTATTGGTTGATTTCTTGATAAGATTCTCTTTTTTGGAACTATGGATTTATCAAGGATTAGGTCAGTCCTTTCAAGTGGAATTGAAGCTATGCTGCCCTTAAGTGTAAATTTGGACTGAGTTGCTCATGAACATATTAACTGTAAATATAAACTGTGCTGAAAACTGTGAGGCTTTAAACCCCCATCGTTTCTTATTTTTTGGAAACAAGGTTACAGAGGAGCATTTTATGATGCTTTTACTTTTCTTACTTCTTTTCTGACCTCCTCCTCTTTTGTGGTGACAGGTGAACAAGTGTCTACACCTGACTATTGTGAAACAGTGGATATTTCCTGCTTAGACAAAACTGAAACTACGACAGAAAGGGAGCAAAGAGATGATCCATCTTGGACATTAGGAAATCTGGGTAATTGTATTAGAATTTAGACATGTGCTATGGAGTGTTGTGTCAGACTTTGTATAACAAAATTTTGAAAATGAGCTATTTTTCAGATTCTCTTTCTTAAAATCTATGAATTTACCAAGGACTAGCTCACTCTATTCAAATGGAATTGAAACTATGATTCTTTTACTTTTGTATTTGTAATAAGTTATTGACGAAAATGTTAAATGTATTTAAGTGTAAAACATGCTGAGAACTTTGAGTCTTTAAACACTCATTCTTATTTCTTGAAACAAGATTTCAGAATAGCATTTTATGATGCTTTTAATTTTCTTAGTTCTTTTCTGACCTCCTTCTCTTTTGTGCTGACAGGTGCACAAATGTCTACCCCTTACTACTCTGAAACAATGGATATTTCCTGCCTTGACCAAACTGCAGGTATTCCAGAAAGGGAGCAAAGAGATGATCCATCTTGGACATTGGGAAATCAGGGTAATTGTATTACTATTTGGACCATGGACTGAAAGACATAACTTTCCACATGCCCTACAGAGTGCAGTGTGAGAATCTATATGTGAAAAATATTGAAAATAGTTTCTTATCATATTCCCTTTTTCAAATCATTAAATTTATCAAAGGTTAACTGAGGCTGAAGAATGGAATTGAAACTGTTCTGCCTTTACTTATAAATTTGGATTAAATGGTTCATGAAAGTGTTAATTGTTTAAGGGTAAAATATGCTGAAAACTTTGTGTCTTTTTTTTTTTTTTTTTTTTTTTTGTCTTTTTGAGACAATGTCTCACTATGCAGTTCAGGTTGACTTGAGTTACTTTGTCACTCAGGCTGGTCTGGAACTCAAAACAGTCCTCCTGCCTCTGCGTCCTGAGTGCTGAAATTACAGACATGGGCCACCATGCCCTGCAAAAGTTTGAGTCTTTAAGCACTCAGTCTTTTCTTCTTTTTTTTGATACAAGCTTGCAGAGTAGTATTTTATGATGTTTTTGATTTTTGTAGTTCTTTTGTTACCTCCTCCTTTCTTGTAGTGCCAGGGGCACAAGTGTCTCCAGATGTCTATTGTGAAACAGTTGAACTTCCCAGTTGGGAGCAAACTGTAGGTATGACAGAAAGTGGGCAATAGATGATGCATCTTAGATGTTGGAAATTCCAGGCAATTGTATTAGAACTTAGAAAGGTGACTGAAATAAATATCTTTGACCTGCCCTACACAGTGTTATGTGAGACTCTGTACATGAAAAATATTGAAAATAAAGTCTTGAAAGATTGTCTTTTTAAATTATTTTAAAAGTTTTCCATTAAAGAGAAAAAAATAATAGAAAATAGTACAGAATTTTAGACCCGGATAATAGATGATTAACAATGGTTACTAGAATGTATATTGTTATCTGCAATGTAGTTGCTCTGATTACAAGATATAGGCATGAAAACTCACTCAAACAATATAAGCACAAACTTGTTATTTTGAACCAAGAGGAATTGATAGTATTACCTATCCTATGTATACCTATCCATCTATCTATCTATGTAACTATCTAACTATTTATGTCTTTATCTATGTACATTTTTTCTTTTGCCTCCCTTCTTTTCTCTTTCCTCACATTTCAGTTGTTATTTCCTTTTAATCAGTTTCTTCCCCTTGATCAATATTTATTGTACATCTTGGATCTTACTCTTATATTTTCTTCCACAAGGGAGACACTATGATATTTATACATATGAGTCTGATTTATCTCACTTAGGTGTATTGTCTCAACTTGCATCATTTTCATACAAAAGCCTCAAGTTTATCCCTCTTTAGACCTGAGGACTACTGCATTGTATAAAAATACCATACGGTTTTTTATCTGTTCCTCAGTTGATGTGCATTTGAGTTGTTTCCAAGACTTAGATCATGATGTTTTTAATTCTGGGAAAATATGCAGAAGGAGAATAGCTGGGTCGAATGCAACCTCTCATCGTAATATTTTGAGGACAGTCCACACTGTTTCCCACAGTGGTTTTACACTCCCATCAACACTGGAGAATGGTACCTCTTTCCCCACAACCTGGTCAGCATTTTATTGGTTGATATCTTGATCAGATTCTCTTTCTTAAGTCCATAAATTTATCAAAGATTAAGTCCGTCCTTTCCAATGGAATTGAAAGTATCCTGCTCCTACTTGTAAATTTGCACTGAGTTGCTATTGAAACTGTTAACTCTGTAAATGTAACATATGACAAAAACTATGAGGATTTAAGCACTCATTCATTTCTTATTTATTGGAAGCAAGGTTACAGAGCAATATTTTGTAATGCTTTTACTTTCCTTAGTTGTTTTCTGACCTCCTTCTCTTTTGTGCTGACAGGTGCACAAATGTCTACCCCTGACTATTGTGATACAGTGGATTTTTCCTGCTTTGACCAAACTGCAGGTATTCCAGAAAGGGAGCAAACAGATGACCCATTTTGGACATTAGGAAATCTAGGTAACTGTATTATTATCCGGACCATGGACTGAAACACATAGCTCTTCACATGCTCTGCTCAGTGGAATGTGAGAATCTGTATATGGAAAACATTGAAAATAGCCTCTTGTCATATTCCCTTTTTAAAAACAGGGAATTCATCAAAGATTAACTGAACCTGAAGAATGGAATTGAAACTATCCTGATTACTTATAAATTTGTATTACGTGCTTTATGAAAGTGTTAACTGTTTAAGGGTAAAATATGCTGAAAATGTTGAGACTTTAAGCACTCAGTCTTTACTTATTTTTTCGATATAAGGTTGCAGAATACTATTTTATGATGCTTTGAATTTTCTTTTGTGTTTTCTGACTTCCTATTCTTTTGTGGTGCCAGACATGCAATTGTGGCCAGATGACTATTGGGAAACAGTGGTACTTACCTGCTATGACCAAGCTGAATGTTTAACAGCAAGTGAACCAAGAGATGATGCATCTTGGGCATTAGAAAATCAAGGTAATAGTTTTAGAATTTGTTTTCTAATTTTAGAAATAAAAGAATGAAAACATATTAACAAAGAGACAACCACTTACAAAGCAGCACAAGAATAGTACAAACAATGCTGAATTACAGACAAGGTGACAGGGAATTAACAATGGTTGTTGTATTACATATTGATAACTTCAAAGTGGTTACTCAGGAAAACAAATAGAGACATGCAAGATTGATCAAATAAGTAATCATTAACTGTTTCTTTCAGTAAAGCGATAGAAGTCAGGAGTACAACTATGTTAGGTATCCTGTATGTGCATATCTACATAATTTCCCCCTTCTTTCTTTTCTCTTTTCCATCATCCCAGCTGCTCTTTACTTTTGAGCAGTTTCTTTTCACAATGTTTAACATACCTCCTAGATTTTATTTACTTTTTCAAGTTCTAACACTAGTGAGGCAATATGTTGCTTGTACACATGCAGGTCTGATTTATTTCACTTATGAGTATGGTCTCTAGTTGTGCCCATTTACCTATAAAAGCCTCGAGTTTATCTTTCTTTATAGCTGAGTAATATTCCATTATATAAAAATGCCACAATTTTTTAACCCAATCCTCAGTGGATGGACAGTTGGGTTGCTTCCATGATTTAGCAATTACAAATTGTGCTGCTATGAACATAGGTGCACATATATCACTGTGATATGCTGTCTTTAGATCTTCCGGGAGAATACCCAGAAGGGGAATAGCTGGGTTGAAAGGGACCTCTAGAACTAGTTTGCTGAGGAATCTCCAAACTGATTTCCACAGTGGTTTCACCAATCTGCATTCCCACCAGCAGTGGAGAAGAGTTCCTATTTCTCCACAGCCTTGCCAGCATTTGTTATTGGTTGATTTCTTAATGTTAGCCATTCTTACTGGGGTAAGATGGAATCTCAACATTGTTTTAATTTGCATTTCTCAAATGACTAATGATGTTGAACATTTTCTCATGTATTTACTTACCGTTTGTATTTCTTTATGTGAGAAGTGTGTATTCATCTCAGATGCCCATTTTAGGATTGGGTCTTTGAACTTGGGGAGGTTGATGTTTTTTAATTCTTTATATGTTCTAGATAGAAGCCCTTTGACCGAGGGACAGCCAGCTAAAATTTTTTCCCAATTTGTGGGTTTCTTGTTTACTTTGCTGGTGATTTCTTTAGATGTACAAAAACTTTTTAGTAAGATGAGGTCCCAGTTGTTGAGTCTTTGAAGTATTTCCCATGCAGTTTGGTTTTTGTTCACGAACTCTTCCAATCCCTATGTCTTCAAGATTTTTACCTGCTTTCTCTTCCAATAGATTTAGTATTTCTGTTTTAATATTGAGATCTGTGATCCATTTTGACTTTACTTTGGTGCATGGTGATTAACTTGGGTCTATTTTCAGTCTTTGGCAACTGGCAAGCGAATTTTTCCAGCACCATTTGTTAAAGAGATTATCTTCCTTCCAATGAGCTTGTTTGGCCCTTTGGTCAAAGAGTAGGTGGCTCAGTGTGTTTGTGCTCATGGATGTTTCTTCCATTCTGTTCCAGTGATCCTCAGGTCTATTTCTGAGCCAGTACCAGATTGATTTTTTTTTTTTTTTGGTTTTGGTTTTTCTCCGGTACCGGGAACCGAACTCATGACCTTGCGCTTGCCAGGCAGGCGCTTTGCCACTGAGCTAAATCCCCAGCCCCCAGATTGATTTTATTATAGTAGCTTTGCAGTACAGTTTCAGGTAAGGTAATGTGATTCCACCTGACTTGTCTTTGTTGCCCAGGATTGCTTTTGCTATTCTGTGTCTTTGCTGGTTCCAGATGAATTTTAGGAATGTTTTCTCTAGATCTTTAGGGTATGCTAATGGTATTTTAATGGGAATTGCATTGAATCTATACAACAATTTTGGTAGTATAACCATTTTCATAATGTTAGTTCTTCCTATCGATGAGCAAGGAGTATTTCTCCATTTACTGAAGTCCTCATCGTTCTCTTTTTCCAGAGTACTGTACTTTTCATTGAATAGATCTTTTACTTCTTTTGTTAGATTGATTCCTAAATACTTCAGTTTCTTGAATGCTATTGTGAAAGGTATGATTTCCTTAATTCCTCTCTCAGTCTGTTTGTTGTTTGTGTATAGGAATGCTATTGATTTTTGAGTGTTGACTTTGTATTCAGCTACACTGGTGAATTTGTTGATTAGTTCAAGGAGTCTTCTGGTGGATTTTTTGAGGTCTTCCATGTAAAGTATCATGTCATCTGCAAGCAGTGATAATTTCACTTCTTCCATTCCTACCCTTATTCCTTTTATTTCTCTCTCTTGTCTAATTGCTCTGGCTAGCGCCTCCAGAACTATGATAAGGGCTGGGGATTTAGCTCAGCGGCACAGCGCCTGCCTGTCAAGCATGAGGTCATGAGTTCAATTCCTGGCACCGGAAAAAAAACAAACAAACAAACAAACAAAAAAGAAACAGAACTATGTTGAATAGGACTGGTGACAGTAGACATCCTTGTCTTGTTCCTTGCTTTAAAATGAAAGCTTTTAGTTTTTGTCCATTTAATATGATGTTGGCTGTTGGTTTGTCATAGATGGCTTTGATCAGATTGAGGAAAAGATCATCTATTCCTATTTTCTGTAGTGTTTTTTTCATGAATACATGTTGGACTTTGTTGAAAGCTTTTTTTGCATCTATTGAGATGATCATGTGGTTTTTGTCTTTGGCTCTATTGATACGGTGTATTATGTTAATTAATTTGCAAATATTGAAAAATCCCGGCATTCCTGGAATGAATCCTACTTGGTCATGTTGTATTATTTTCTTGATGATTTGCTACATTCTATTTGCTAGTATTTTATTGAGTATCTTTGCATCTATGTTCATTAGGGAGATTGGTCTGTAGTTGTCTTTCTTGGTTGGGTCTTTCTCAGGTTTTGGTATCAGTATAATACTTGGCTCTAGAAATGAGTTAGGGAGAATTGCTTCCTTTCCAATTTCATTGAAGAGATTGAAGAGTGTTGGCGTTAAATTTTCTCTGAATTTTTTATAGAATTCTGCTATAAATCCATCAGGGCCTGGGCATTTCTCTGTCTGTAAATTTTTAATCACATTTTCAATCTCATTAATTGATATAGGGTTTTTCAGGATTTTTATATTTTCTTGATTCAATTTGGCAGTTCATACATATGTAGGAATCTGTCCATTTCTTGTGAGTTCTCTATCCTATGGGAGTAAATATTTTCAAAGTAAGTATTAATGATCCTTTGAATTTCTGTAGGATCTGTACTTATTTCATCCTTTTCATTCCTTATTCTATGAATTTGAGTTTTTTCCTTTCTTTTTTTGATAATGTTAGGTAGGGGTTGATCGATTTCATTTATTCTTTCAAAGAACCAACTCTTTGATTCATTTATTTTTTTGTAGAGTTTTCTTCATCTCAATTGCATTAATATCTGCCAAGATCTTTATAATCCTCCCTTCTTTGGGCTTTGGGCTTGATTTGTTCTTCATTTTCTAAGATTCTGAGGAGCAGTATTAGGCTATTTATTTGTTCTCTTTCTGTTTTCCTCATATGTGAGTTCACTGCTCTGAGTTTCCCTCTGAGAATTGCTTTCATTGCATCCCACAGATTCCGGTAAGTTGTATTTACATTTTCATTTTCTTGTAGGTATTTTTTATTTTCTTCTTTAATTTCTTCTGTAACCCATTGGTTGTTCAGGAGGTTAATATTTAATTTCCAAGTGCTTGTGGAGTTTTTGGAGTTCTTTTTGTCATTAATTTCCAATTTCATTGCACTGTGGTCAGATAATATGCATGGGGTAATTTCAGTTCTTTTGCATTTAGTTAGGTATGCTCTATGGGCTAGAATACGGTCTATTTTAGAGAAAGTCCTATGTGCAGCTGAGAAAAATGTGTATTCTGTTGTTGTGGGGTGGAACACTCTGTATACATCTACTAAGCCAATTTGTTCACAGATTTGGTTCAGATCTATTATTTCTTTGCTGATTTTTTTTTCTATTTGACCTACCTCTTTGTGTCAAAGGGATGCTAAGGTCCCCTATTACAATAATGTTATTAATTATTTGGTTTTTGATGTCTGTTAAGATTTGTTTTATATAATTTGGTGCTCTGATAGTTGGTGCATACATATTTATGATTGTTATCTCTTCCTCTTGCAGTTTTCTCCTAACTAGTATGTAGTGACCTTCTTTATCTCTTTTGATTGTTTTCAGTTTGAAAACAAAATAGCTGCAAACATAATAGCTGCAAACATAATAGCTACCCCTGCTTTTTCTGGGATCCTGTTGCATGGAGAACTGTTTTTCATCCTTTCACTTTCAGTCTGTGGATTTCCTTTTGAGTGAAGTGTGTTTCCTGTGTACAGCAAATTGTGGGATTTTGTTTCTTAATCCACTCTGCCAGTCTGTTTCTTTTGACTGGTGAATTGAGGCCATTTACATTAATGGTTATAACTGAGATATGTTGGCTTATCTTTGCCATGTTATTTACTTGCTGTTGGTTTCCTACTTTTGCTATCTATTTAATTGCTTGCTCTGCTTGAGGGTTCCTTTCTATTGTTGTTCTTGAGATTGTGGTCACTTTTATCTCTGTCTAGAACATCTTTTAATTCTCTTTGTAAGGTTAGTTTGGCACTAGTGAAGTTCTTCAGTTGTTCTTTGTTGTGGAAATATTTTATTTCTCCATTGAATTTGAGGGATAGTTTGCTAGGATAGATCAGTCTTGACTGGAAGCTGTTTTGTTTCAGGACCTATAATACTTTGCTCCAAGCTCTTCTTGATTGGATGGTTTGTGTTGAGAAGTCTGCCATGATTCTGATGGGCTTTCTTTTATAGGTGATCTGTTTCTTTTCTCTAGCAGCCTTTAATATTCTGTTCTTTGCTGGATATCTAGGATCTTGATTATTACATGTCTGGGTGTGTTTTAATTTGGTTATAGCTAGTTGGGGTTCTGTATGCCTCATTTACCTATACATCAGAATCTTTTTCCATGCTTGGGAAGTTTTCTGCTATTATTTCTGCAAATATTCTTTTTATGTCATTTGTGTTGCCTCCTGCTGTTTTATTGACTCCTATTAGTCTTACATTATTTCCTTTTGCCTCATCTTGCAGGTGTTCAATTGACTTTTCCTGGATCCTTGTTGATTTTGAGAGATCCTTCCTTTCATAATTATTAGCTACCATCCTTCTTTAATATCTGAGATTCTTTCTTCAGCTTCATTCAAATGCTTTTGCCAGCTTTCTTTTTTTGTTTTTGGCTTTTGGTTTTCTCTGGTACCGGAAATCGAACTCATGAGCTCACGCTTGCCAGGCAGGCGCTGTGCTGCTGAGCTAAATCCCCAGCCCCTGCCAGCTTTCAATGGAAGTTTTGATTTCCTGGATGTCTCTTTGAATCTGTTTCATGCATTGTAGTTCTGACCTGTATTGTTCATTTAATTTTTCCATCATTTTCTTATGCTCATCTATTTTTTTATGTCTGTCTTCTTTAGATGTGCTGAGCAGTTCTTTCATTATTGATGTCATTTCTTTTTTTACCTGGGCGATTATTTGTGATCTGATTTCTTCTGTGGCCTGTTGGAGTTGTTTCTTTACTTCAGTTGTGATCATTTCAGAGATTTCAGGTATGTGACTTCCAAGTTCTCTTATGTCAGTGTCTCCTGGACTTGTTCTGGGTGGAGTTGAGTTCTGAGATTGCATTTTACTCCTGTGTCTTGTCATTTTGAATGTTGGATGGAAAGTGCTGAGCCACATGCTACCCAGACAGCTCACTGAAGGTCTCTAGGGACCTTAGTTTACCTGGATAGCAGACTTATCCCAAAGTGTTAGAGGGCAGTGGACCACTGGACCTGGGATCCCCAGGCAATTGCTGGGGTACACAGCTCAGACCACAGCTGCGATGGTGGGGGAGTGCTGGCCTTTGGTACCAGGGTCTCCAGGCCATCAATGGAAAGCATGTGGGCCTCAGCTGTGTACCCGATGGTGGCCAGACAGGGGCCCCTGCTCCAGGTTCCTCAGGTAGCTGGTTGAGGGAGAGCAGGCCTCACCTCCCAACCAAAGGTCTACAGAGCCCGGGGCTGCTCCTGCACAGCTTCCCTGTCTCAAAAGAGCAGGGCGGGGCATAGGTGCAGGCCTTACCCACCAAAGGAGAGGTCCACAGAGATGGGGCCACTTCCTTGTTGCTTCCCTCAGTATTGGGATTTGGACAGTGGAGTATAAAAATATATTTGGCATATCTTATACACTGTTGCATGAGACTCCTTCCATGACAAAATATTGAAAAAAGATTTTTCTCAGTTTCTCTTTTCCCAAAAAATTTAATGTTAAAGAGAAAAATACAATAAAAATAATGATACAGAATTTCAAATATGATAATGGATGATTAACAATGGTTAATATAATGCATATTGTTATTTGCAATGTAATTGCTCAGATTGCAACACATAGGCATTAAAACTTACACTCTAAAAGCACAAACTGTCCTTTTTAATGAATGTGGAGGAATTAATAGCATAATTATCTCTGCTATCTTGTCAATGTACATCTATTTATCTATCTATATAAATTTTTTTACTTTCCTTTCATGCTTTTCTCCTCTTTCCCATCACAGTTGTTCTTTCCTTTTGAGTAATTGCTTCTCCTTTAATGATATCTATCATACGCTTGGATCCCATATACTAATACATTTTCTTGCACTAGTGAGGCAATGTGGTATTTATATATGTGTGATTTAGTTCATTTGTGAGTATGGTCTCAAGATGCGTCCATTTACATGTAAAAGCCTCGAGTTTATCCTTAAACATGAATAATAGTCCATTCCAATAAAATACCATTTTTTATCCATGCCTGGATAAATGTGTTTTGAGCTATTTCCAAGATTTAGTTATTATAGATTGTGCTGCTGTAAACATGGGTGCACATATATTGCTCTTGCATGATGTTTTTAATTCTTCTGGAAAAATTCCCAGAAGGGAATAGCTGTGTCATATGGGACATCTCATCCTGGTTTTTTGAGGACTGTACACACTGATTTCCACAGTGGTTGTACCAGTCTACACTCCCACCAACACTGTGGAAGAGTACATTTATCCCTACAACCTGGCCAACATTTGTTATTGGTTGATTTCTTGATCAGATTCTCTTTTTCAAGTCTATGCATTTATCAAAGATTAAGTCAATCCTTTTGAATGAAACTGAAACTATGTTACTCCTACTTGTAAATGTGGAGGGAGTTGCTCATGAAAGTGTTAACTGTTTAAATGTAAAATATGCTGAAAAAATGTGAGGCTTTAAGCCCTCATTCATTTCTTATTTTTTGGAAACAAGCTTACAGAGTAGCATTTTATGATGTTTTTCCTTTTCTTAGTTCTTTTCTGACCTCCTCCTCTTTTGTGGTGACAGGTGAACAAGTGTCTACCCCTCACTATTGGGATACAGTGGGTATTTCCTGCTTAGACCAAACTGAAGATATGCCAGAAAGGGAGCAAAGAGATGATCCATCTTGGACATTGGGAAATCAGGGTAATTGTATTACTATTTGGACTTCGGACTGAAAGACATAACTTTTCACATGCTCTACTCAGCGGAATGTGAGAATCTGTACATGAAAAATATTGAAAAGAGATTATTGTCATATTCCCTTTTTATTTTTTTGTTTGTTTTTTTATTTTAAAAATAAAAGGAAAACATTAACAAACAGACAACCTTTTACAAAATAGCACAAGAACAGTACAGACAATACAGAGTTGCAAAGTCATAGGAAATTAACAGTGCTTGTTGTATTACATATTGATTACTTCAAAGTGGTTTCTCATGAAAACAGATAGAGACATGTAATATTGATCAATCAAGGACTCATTGACAGTTTCTTTCAGCAAAGAAATAGAAGACAGTAGAACAACTATGTTAACTATCCTGTATATAAATACATGCATACAAAATTTTCCATTCCCATTTTTAAATCAATCCATTTATCAAGGATTACCTGCACCTTAAAAATGGAATTGACACTGTCTTGCCTTTACTCATAAATTTGGATTAATTCGTTTATGAAAGTGTTGACAGTTTAAGGGTGAAATATGCTGAAAACTCTTGTGTCCTGCAGTACTCAGCCTTATCTTGTTATTTGATAAAGAGATGCAGAGTAGTATTTTATGATTTTTTAATTTTCTTAGTTCTTTGCTGACATCCTCCTCTTTTGTGATGCCAGTTGCACAAGTGTCTCTCGATGACTGTTTTGAAACAGGGGCACTTTTCTGTGTGGAGCAGGGTGAATACAGGAGAGAAAGTGAAGAAAGAGATGATCCATCTTGGAACTTAGGAGAACAGGGTAATTGTATGAGAATTTAGACAGTGAACTGAAAGAAATATCTTTGACATACCCTACACAGTGTTCTGGCAGACTGTATATGACAAAATATTGAAAACAAACTCTTTCAGGTTCTCTTTTTTTAAATCCATGAATTTTTCAAGGATTAGCTCACTTTGTTCAAATGGAATTGAGACTATGTTTCCTTTACTTATATATTTGGAATAAGTTACTGATGAAAAAGTGAAATGTATTTAAGTCTAAAACATGCTGACAACTTTGAGTCTTTAAACACTCCTTCTTATTTCTTGAAGCAAGGTTTGAGATTAGTTTTTTTTTTTAAATTTCATTCTTAGAGATAGAAGAATAAAAACATGTTAACAAACACACAGACATAAACAAAACAACACAAAAACAATAAAAACAATACAGAATTTCAGACAAGGTGAAAAGAAATTGACAATGGTTGCTGTATTACATAGTTATCTTCATACTGGTTACTCAGATAACCAAATACAGACATAAAGAATGATCAAACAATTAAATATCAATTGCTTCTCTTAAGAAAGCAATAGGAATTAATACTACCATTCTCCTGGCCATTTTGTGTATATATGTATATTTTTTTCCCCTCTCTTCTTTCTTTTCTTTTTTCCCTCATCGCAGTCATTCTTTCCTTTTGAACAGTTTCTTTCCCTTTCTCACTACCTATTGTACCTTTGAGATTTCATTTACCCTTTCATGTTCTTATACCAGGGAGACAATATGTTATTTACACATGTGAGTCTTATTCATTTCACTTATGAGTATGGTCTGTAGTTGCATCCATTTACGTATAAAAGCCTCGAGTTTATCTTTTTTTATAGCTGTGTAATATTCCATTATGTAAAGATACCACCGCTTTTTTATCCATTCCTCAATAGAGTAGTATTTTATGATGCTTTTAATTTTCTTAGTTCTTTTCTGATGTCCTCCTTCTCTCTTGTGGCAGGTACACAGTTGTATCCAGATGACTATTGTGAAAGAGCGGAACTTTCCAGTTTTGTGCAAACTGAAGGTATGAAAGAAAGCTAAGAGATGATACATCTTGGACATTAGGAAATCAGGGTAACTGGATTAGAATTGAGCTGTGGATTGAAAGAAATACCTTTGACATGCCCTACACAGTGTTATTTTTGACTCTATATGACAAAATATTGAAAATAGATTCTCATCAGAAAGTCTTTTAATTTTTTTTTAAAAATTACATGTTAATAGGAAAAACAATAAAAATAATGATACAGAATTTTAACCCACTGTAGTAGAGGATTAACAACGGTTAATAAAATGCATGTTATTATCTGCAATGTAGCTTCTAAACTAAAAGATATAGGCATAAAAAATTACTGAAACAGTGTAAGCACAAACTGTTCTTTTAACCAGCTAAAGAACTAAAAGTACAATTATCTTAGCTATCTTGTGTCTGTACATCTATGTATTTATGTATCTATGTATCTATCCATCTATCTGTCTATCTATCTGTAATGTTTTTCTTTTTCCTTCTTTTCTCCTTGCCCACATTACAGTTGTGCTTTCCTTTTCAGCAGTCTTTTCTTCTCTCACAATATCTATTGTACATTTTGAATCTCATTTACTCTTGTATTCTCTTACAGTAGGGAGGCTGTACGACGTTTACACATATGACTCTGATTTATTTTACGTGTGAGTTTGGTCTCAAGTTATATCCATTGAATACAAAAGCCTTAGAGTTATCTTTCTTTATTCCTGAGTAGTACTCCAGTGTAGAAAGCTACCATATCTCTTTTATTCATTCTTCAGTTGATGTACACTTGAGCTTTTTCCCAGTTTTAGGTATTATAAATTGTGCTGCTATAAACATGGGTGCACATATATTGCTATGGTATGACGTTTTTAATTCTTCTGAGAAAATACCAAGTAGGGGAATAGCTGGGTAGAATGCCACCTCTCATCCTAATTTTTGTAGGACTGTCCACACTGATTTCCACAGTGGTTGTACCAGTCTGCACTCCCACCAGCACTGGAGAAGAGTACTTTTTCCCCCACAACCTGAGCAGCATTTGTTATTGGTAGATTTCTTGATCAAATTCTCTTTTTAGGAATATGAACTTATCAAGGATTAGGTCAGTCCTTTCAAGTGGAATTAAAACTATGCTGCCTGTAAATTTGGATGGAGTTGCTTATGAGAGTGTTAACCGTGTAAACGTAACATGAAAACTGTGAGGTTTTGAGCACTCATTTATTTCTTTTTTTTTAGAAGCAAACTTACAGAGTAGCATTTTATGATGCTTTTAATTTTCATAGTTCTTTTCTTACCTCCTCCGCTCTTGTGGTACCAGGTGCACAAGTGTCCCTAGATGACTACTGTGAAACAGTGGAACTTTCCAGTTTTAAGCAAACTGAAGGTATGCTGGAAAGTGAACAAAAACTGATCCATCTTGGACATTAGGAAATCAGAGTAATTGTATTAGTATTTTGACAGTGGAATGAAAGAAACATCTTTGGACATGCCATACAGAGTGTTCTGTGTGACCCTGTGACAAAATATTTAAAATGAACTCCCCCCCTCACCCCGGTACCGGGAATCAAACTCACGACCTTGTGCTTGCCAGGCAGGTGCTGTGCAGCTGAGCTAAATCCCCAGCCCCTAAAATGAACTTTTTTTTAAGATTCTCGTTTTTAAATCTATGAATTTATCCAGGATTAGCTCATTCTTTTCAAATGGAATTGAAGCTATCTTTCCTTTACCTATAAATTTGGAATAAGTTATTGATAAAAATGTTAAATGTATTTAAGGGTAAAATATGCTGACAGGTTTGAGCCTTTAAGCACTCACTCTTACATTTTGGAAACAAGGTTTTAGAATAGTATATTATGTTGTCTTTAATTTTCTTAGTTCTTTTTCCACTTCCCCCTCTTCTGTGGTAACAGGTGCACAAGCGTCTCCAGATGACTATTTTGAAATAATAGACATGTTTGGCTTTGAGCAGAGTGAAAGTATGACAGAAGGTGAGCAAATACATGATCCATCTTAGACATTGGGAATTCCAGGTAATTGTATTAGAATTTAGAAAGGTGACTGAAATAAATATCTTTGACCTGCCCTACACAGTGTTATGTGAGACTCTGTACATAAAAAATATGAAAATAGAGTCTCGAAAGATTGTCTTTTAAAATTTCCTAAATTTTGCAGTAAAGAGAAAAAATAATAGAAATTGATACAGAATTTTAAAACATGATAATAGATGATTACCAATGGTTAATATAAAGCATATTGTTACCTGGAATATACTTGTGCTGATTAGGAGATATAGGCATGAAAGCTTACTCCAACAATATAAGCAAAGACTGCTATTTTTAACCAACTAAGGGGAATTAATAGTATAATTATTTTAGCTATCTTGTGTTTATCTATCTATCTATAATCTATCTATTAATCTATCTATATACATTCTTTCTTTCGCCTATGCTTTTTTTCCTTTTGGCCCTCCCAGTTGTTACATACTTTTGATGGGTTTCTTCCCCTAGCACAATATTTATTTTACATTTTGGAACTCATTTATTCTTACATTTTCTTACATTAGGGAAGCAATATGGTGTTTACACGTAAGGGACTGATTTATTTTACTTATGATATGTTCTCAAATTGCATCATTTTCATACCAAAGCCTTAAGTTTATCCTTCTTTATACCTGAGTACTACTCCATTGTATAAAGATACCATAGCTTTTTTATCTACTCCTCAGTTGTTGTGCATCTGAGTTCTTTTCAGGCTTTAGCCATTACAAGCTGTGCTGCTGTAAACATGGGTGCTCATATATTGCTCTGACATGACGTTTTTATTTTTTTTTTTATTTATTTATTTATTTTTTTTTTGACATGACGTTTTTAATTCTTCTCGGAAAATACCATGAAGGGGAATTGTTGGGTCGAACGTGACCTCTCACCTTGGTTTTTTGAGGACTGTCCACTCTGTTTTCCACAGTGGTTGTACCAGTCTACACTCCCACCAACACTGGATAATGGTACATTTTCCCCCACAACCTGGCCAGCATTTGTTATTGGTCGATTTCTTGATCAGATTCTCTTTTTTAAGTCTATGAATTTATCAAACATTAAGGGAGCCCAAAGAATGGAATTGAAACTATCCTGCCTTTAGTTATCAATGTGAATTAAATAGTTTATGAAGTTGTTAACTGTTTAAGGGTAAAATATGCTGAAAACTTTGAGTCATTAAGCACTCAGTCTTTTCTTATTTTTTTGATACAAGCTTGCAGTGTAGTATTTTATGATGTTTTAATTTTTGTATTTATTGTCTCACCTCCTCCTCTGTTGTGGTGCCAGGAGCACAAGTGTCTCCAGGTGTCTACTGTAAAACAATGGATCTTTCCAGTTTTGACCAAACTGAAGGAGTGACAGAAAAGAAGCAAGGAGATTTTCCATCTTGGACATTAGGAATTCAGGGTAATTGTATCTCTCTTTGGATCTTGAACTGAAAAAATATCTTTTGATATGCCCTATACAGAGTTCTGTGAGACTCTGTGACACAGAATTGAAAATAAACTTTGTTTTAGATTCTCTTTTTTATATTTATGAACTTGTCAAGGCTTAGCTCACTCCTTTCAAATGGAATTGAAATCATCTTTCCTTTACCTACAAATTTGGAATGAGTTATTGATGGAAATGTAAAATGTATTTAAATGTAAAATATGCTAAAATTTTTGTCTTTAAGCACTCATTCTTTTTTTTTTGGTGGACGCAAGGTTTTAGAGTAGTGTATTATGATGTCTTTCATTTTCTTAGATCTTTTCTAACCTCCTCCTCCTTTGCGGTGCCGGGGGCACAAGTGTATCCAGATGAGTATTGTGAAACAGTGGATCTTTCCAGTTTTGAGCAAACTGAAGTTATGACAGAACATGAGCAAAGAGATGATTCTCCTAGGATATTAGGGAATCTGGGTAATTGTGGTAGAATTGGGAAAGCTGACTGAAATAAATATCTTTGACCTGCCCTACACAGTGATATGTGAGACTCTGTACATGTGAAAATATTGACAATACTAGTCAGATTGTCTTTTTAATTTTTTAATTTTGTATGAAAGAGAATAAACAATAAAAATAATGATACAGAATTTTAAAATACAATAGTAGTTGATTAATACTATTTAATATAGTGCATATTGTGACCTGCAATGTGATTGCTCAGATTACAATATATTGGCATGAAAAATTTCTCACACACTATAAGCACAAACTGGCCTTTTCAATGAACATAGAAAAATTAATAGCATAATTATCTTAGTTATCTTGTTTATATATCTATCTGGCTGTCTATCTATCTATCTATCTATCTATCTATCTATCTATCTATCTGCATTTTTCTTTTCCTTTCCTTCTTTTCTCCTCTCTTCCATCACAATTGTTCTTTCCTTTTGAGTAATTGCTTCTCCTTCAGTGACATCTATTGTATGCTTTGGATGTCATTTACTAATGCATTTTCACACTAGAGAGGCAATATGACATTTACACATGTGAGTCTGATTTATTTCACTTATCAGTATGTGTCAAATTGCATCCATTGACGTATAAAAAATGACGTATCATTCTTTATATCTGATTAGCACTCCATTTTATAAAAATACCATATCTTTTCATCCATTCCTCAGTTGATGGGCATTTGAGTTGTTTCCAATATTTAGCTCTTAAAAATAATGCCGCTGTAAACATGTGTGCTCATATATGACTCTGGTATGATGTTTTTAATATTTTTCGGAAAATATTCAGAAAGGAAATAGCTGGATCAAATGCAACCTCTCATCCTAGTTTTCTAAGGACTCTGCAAAACCAGTTTCCACAGTTTCCAGCAGTCTATACTCCCATCAACACTGGAGCACGGTAGCTTTTTCTGCAAAAACCTGCCAGCAATTATTATTAGTTGATTTCTTGATCAGGTTCTCTTTTTTAAGTCAATGAATTTATTAAGGATTAGATCATTCCTTTCAAATGGAATTGAAACTATGCTGCTCCTACTCTTAAATTTGGACTGAGTTGCTTATGAAAATGTTAAGTGTATAAATGTAAAACATGCTGAAATCCTTGAGTGTTTATGGCCTCATTTGTTTCTTACTTTTTGGAAAGAAGGTTACAGAGTAGTATTTTACGATGGTTTTAATTTTTTAGCTCTTTTCTGACCTCCACCTCTCTTGTGGTGACAGGTGCCCAAGTGTCTACACATGACCATTGTGAAAGAGTGGGTCTTTCCTGCTTTGACCAAACTGAAGAGATCACAGAAAGGGAGCAAAGAGGTGATCCATCTTGGACATTAGGAAATCAGGGTAACTGTATCACTGTTTAGACCATGGACTGCAAGACACAACTTGTCACACGCTCTACACAGTGGAATGTCAGAATCTATATATGAAAAATACTGAAAACAGATTCTTCTCATATTCCCTTTTTTTTAAAATCAGTGAATTTATTAAGGATTAACTGAACCTTAAAAATGGAATTGAAAGTACCGTGCCTTTACTTATCCATTTGGATTAAGTGCATTATGAAAGTGTTACCTGTTTAAGGGTAAAATATGCTGAAAACGTTGAGTCATTTAGCACTCAGTCATATTTTTTTGTTACAAGTTGCAGAGTAGTATTTGATGGTGCTTTTAATTTCCTTTGTTCTTTTCTGACCTCCTCCTCTTTTGTGGTACCGGGCACCAAAATGTCTCCAGGTGCCTTCTGGGAAGTAGTGGTACTTGACTGTTTTCACCAAACTGAGGGTATGCCAGAAAGGGAGCAAAGAGATGATCCACCTTGGACATTAGAAAATCAGGGTAATTGTATTACTATTTAGACTTTGGACTGCAAGACGTAACTTTTCACATGCTCTACTCAGTGGAATGTGAGAATCTGGACATGGAAAGTATTGAAAATTGATTCTTGTCATATTCTCTTTTATAAATCAATGAATTTATCAAGATAAACTGAGTCTGAAGAATGGAATTGAAACTATCGAGGCTTTTACATATAAATTTTAATGAGGTTGTTTATGAAAGTGATAATTACTTATAGGTAAAATATGCTGAAACTTTGAATCTTTAAGCACCAGACTTTTCTTTTTTTGATACAAGTTTGCAGAGTAGTGCTTCGTGATGCTTTTAATTTTCGTAGTTCTTTTTACCTCCTCTTCTCTTGTGGTGCCAGGTGCACAAGTGTCTCCAGATGTCCACTGTGAAACAGTGGAACTTTCCAGTTTTGAGCAAACTGAAGGTGTGTCAGGACGTGAGCAAAGATATGATCCTTCTAGGACATCAAAATATCCAGGTAATTGTATTAGAATTTGGAAAGCTGACTGAAATAAATATCTTTGACATGCCCTACACAGTGATATGTGAGACTCTGTATATAACAAAATATGGATAATAAATTCTAGCCAGATTGTCTTTTAAATTTTTTAATTTTTAAAATTTTCTTAAAGGAAAAAAGGTTCATTTCAGTTAATAACTTATAGAAGTTTCAGTCCATTAGTCTGCTTGCTCTAAGGCAGGGTGGCGTGGCAGAGGAGAAACAGTCCATGGCAGGGCAGACAGAAGCCCTAATTTTTAAAAATTTTATATTAAAGATGATTTATTTCACTTATGAGCATGATCTCAAGTTGCATCCAGTTACCTATAAAAGCCTCAAGTTTATCCTTCTTTATGCCTCAGTAGTACTCCATTGTGTAAAAATAGTATATCTTTTTTATCCATTCCTTGGTTGATGTCCATTTGAGTTGTTGCCAAGATTTAGCTATTATAAAAATGGCTTCTGTAAACATGTATGCACATATATCATTCTGGTGTGATGTTTTTAATTCTTCTGGAAAATCCTCAGAAGGGGAAGAGCTGGGTTGAATGCAACCTCTCATCTGCAATGTAGCTGCTCAGATTACAGAACAGAGGTATGAAAAATTACTCAAACAAAAAAATTTAAAAAGTTACAAAAGAAAAATTACTCAAACAATATAAGCACAAACTATTCTTTTTAACCAACTAAGAGAAACTAATAGTATAGTTATCTTGCTTATTTTTTGTGAATGTCAATCTATCGTTTATCTATCATCTATCTACCTTCCTATCTAGCTAGCTAGCTAGCTATCATCTCTACCTTTTTTGTTTCCTCTTCCATCTTTTCTCCTTTCCCCCATCCCTTTTGTTCTTTCATTTTGTGCAGTTTCTTCCCATTGCACAATATCTATTGTATGTTTGGATCTCTTTTACTCACATTTTCTTACACTAGGGAAGCAATATGCTGTTTACACATATGATTCTGATTTATTTCACTTGTGAGTATGGTCTCCAGTTGCATCAATTTACCTATGAAAGCCCTGAGTTTATTGTTGTTTATACCGAGTAGTACTGCATTGTATAAAAATACCATGTTTTTTATCCATTCCTCAGTTGATGTGCATTTGACATGTTTCCAAAATACAGCATTTATAAGTTGTGCTGCTGTAAAGATGGGTGCATATGTATCACTCTAGTATGATGTTTTTAATTTTTCTGGGAAAATACCAGAAGAGGAATAGCTAGCTCAAATGCGACCTATCATCCTAGATTTTGAGGATTCTCCACACTGATTTACACAGTGGTTGTAGCAGTGTACACTCCCACAAACAGTGGAGAAGGGTAGCTTTCTCACCACAAACCTACCAGCATTTGTTATTGGTTGTTTTTTGAAATTAGATTCTCTTAATTGTTTAAGGGTAAAATAGGAGGAAAACTTTGAGTCTTTAAACACCCAGTCTTTCCTTATTTTTTTTGATGGAAGCATGTGGAGTGGTAGTTCATGATGCTTTTAAGTGTCATAGTTCTTTTCTTACCTCCTCCTGTCTTGTGGTGCCAGGTGCACAGGTGTCTCCAGATGTTTCTTGTGAAACAGTAGAACTTTCCAGTTTTGAGCCAGTGGAAGGTATGACAGAAAGTGAGCAAAGAGATGATCCATCTTGGATATTAGGAAATCAGGGTAATGGTCCTAGAATTTGGACAATGGACTGAAAGAAATATGTTTTGACATGTCCTACACAGTGTTCTGTGAGAGTGCATGTGATGAAATATTGAAAATGAACTTTTTCAGAATTATTTTCCAATCTATGAATTTATCAAGGAGTAGCACAAATTTTTTTTTAAATGGAGTTGAAACTATGCTATTTTTTCTTACTAATTTGGGTGACGTTGTTTATGAAACTGTTACCTGTGTAAGTGCAAAGTACCCCGACAACCTTGAGTCTTAAAATACTCATTCTATTTTTTTGAAACAAGTTTGCAGTCCAGTATTTTATGAAGATTTAATTTTCTTAGTTCCTTTGAGACCTACTCCTGTTTTGTAGTTGCAAGCATACAGGTCTCTCCAGATACCTATTGTGAGAGAGTGGAGATTTCCAGTTTTGAGCAAACTGGGCAAAGAGGTGATCCATCTTGGACATTGGGAAATCAGGGTAATTGATTTGGAATTTGGACAGTAGACTGAAAGAAATGTCTTTTGACATGTTTGAAAACAAATTTGAAAATGAAATTTTTTAGATTTTCTTGTTAAAGCTATGAATTTCTCAAGGATTACCTAACTCTTTTCAAATAGATTTGAAACTATCTTTCCCTTACTTATAAATTTGGAATAAGTTATTGAAGCAAATGTGAAATATATAATATACTGACAACTTTGGGTCTTTGAACACTCATTCTTATTTTTTGGAAACAAGGTTGCAGAGTAGTAGTTTATGATGTCTTTAATTTTCTTAGTCTTTTCTGACCTCCTCCTCCTTTCTGGTGCCAGGTACATACAAGGCTCCAGATGACTATTGTCAAACAATGAGACTGTCCAGTTTTGAGCAGACTAAAGGTATTACAACAAGTGAGCAAGGAGATGATCCTTTTTGGACATCAGCAAATCAGGGTAATTATATTAGAATTTGGATAGTAGACTGAAAGAAATATCTTTGACATGCCCTACATCGTGTTTTGTTGGACTCTATGACAAAATATTGAAAATAGATTCTCTTCAGATTGTCTTTTTAAATTTTTTAAAATTTTATGCTAAAAAGAAAAACCAAAAATGATATAGAATTTTAAAACATGATCATAGATGATTAACAGTGGTTAATATAATGAATACTGTTATCTGCAGTGTAGCCGCTCAGATTACGAGATACAAGCATGACAAATTACTGAAACAATATAAGCACAAACTACTCTTTCTAACCAACCAAGAGAAACTAATAGTAACTATCTTAGCTCTCACCTGAATGTCTGTCTATCTATCTGTCTACCTATCTATCTATCTACAGCTTTTTCTTTCCCCTTCCTTCTTATCTCCTTTTCCCCATCCCAATTTTTCTTTTCTTTTGAGCAGTTTCTCTCCCTTGCACAATATCTATTGTACACTTTGGATCTCATTTACCCTTATATTTTCTTGCAGTAGGGAGGTAATAGTTTGTTTACTCATATGAGTCTGATTTATTTCACGTAGGAGTGTGGTCTCAAGTTGCATCCATTTACCTATAAAAGCCTTGAGTTTATCCTTTTTCATCCCTGTGTAGTATTCCATTGTATAAAAGTATCATAACTTTTTATCCATTTCTTGGTTGATGTGCATTTGAGTTGTTTCCCAGATTTAGCTATTACAAATTATGCTGCTCTAGACATGGGTGCACATACATCACTGTGGTATGATGTTTTGAATTCTTCTGGGAAAATACAAAGAAGAGGAATAGCTAATTTGAATGGGACCTCTCATCCTAGTTTTTTGAGGACTCTCCACACTCATTTTCACTGGTTGTACCAGTCTACACTCCCACCAACACTGGAGAAGGGTACTTTTTTCCCACAACCTGGCCAGCATTTGTTATTGGTTTATTTCTTGATCAGATTCTCTTTCTTAAGTGTATGCATTTATCGTGGAGTAGGTCAGTCCTTTCAAATGGATTTGAAACTATGCTGTGCCTATTTGTAAATTTGGACTGAGTTGCTTATGAAAGTGTTAATGGTGTAAATGTAAAAATTTTTGAAAAATGTAAGGTTTTAAGCACTTATTTGTATCTTGGTTTTTTGGAAAGAAGGTTACAGAGGAGCATTTTATGATGCTTTTAATTTTCTTAGTTCTTTTCTGACCTCCTTCTCTTTTGTGGTGCCAGGTACACAAGTGTCTCCATCTGACTATTGTGAAACAGTGGAAATTTCCTGCTTTGATGAAACTGAAGGTATGACAGAAGTGAGCAAAGTGATATTGCATCTTGGGTATTAAAAGTTCAGGGTAGGGGCTGGGGATTTAGCTCAGCGACAAAAGTGCCTGCCTGGCAAGCGCAAGGTCATGAGTTCGGTTCCTGGTACCGGAGAAAAACAAAAAAAAAAAAAAAAAAAAAAGTTCAGGGCAATTGTATCACTCTTTGGACTTTGGACTGAAGGACATGTATTTTCCTACTCAGATTATGACATACAAGAATGTGAGACTCTGTACATGAAACATATTGAAAATAAATTGTTATCATATTCCCTTTTTTGATCAATGAAATTATCCAGGATTAACTGAGTCATAAAATTGAACTGATACTATACTTCCATTACTTACAAATTTAGATTAAGTGGTTTATGAAAGTGTTAACTCTTTAGGGGTAAAATTTGCTGAAAACTTTGAGTCTTTAAGCATTCAATGTTAGTTTTTTTGAAACAAGGTTTCAGAGTAGTTTTTATGGTGCTTTTTATTTTCTTAGTCATTTTCTGACCTCCTTCTCTTTTGTGGTGCCAGGAACACCAGTGTCTCCACCTGACTATTGTGAAGTAGTGGAAGTTTCCTGCTTTGATGAAACTGAAAGCGATGATCCATCTTGGACATTCGGCAATGAGGGTAATTTTATTAGAATTTGAACACTGGCTAAAAAAATATCCTTTTTCATGCCCTACACCATGTTATGTTAGATTCAGTACATGACAAAATGTTGATAACAGAATTTTTTTTTTTTTTTGGTTTTTCTCCGGTACCAGGAACTGAACTCACGACCTTGAGCTTGCCAGGCAGGCGCTTTTGCCGCTGAGCTAAATCCCCAGCCGCTGATAACAGAATTTTTTGAATTTTCATTATTTATTTTTTTATTTTAAAGCGAGAAAAAACCAAAAACAAATTAACAATAACAAAGACAAAGCAAAACAATAGAAAACCAATCAGAATGACACAGAATTTCAAAATAAGATAATAGGAAATTAACAATGATTGTTATATTACATACTGTTATCTTCAACGAAGTTGCTCAGATTACCAGATGTAAGAATGCAAGATTGATTCAACAAAATATTAACTATTTCTTTCAATAAATTACAAGAAATTAGTGGTACCATTATTTTAATTATCATGTATATATATATTTCCTTCATTTCTCTTTTCCCCCATCCCAATTGTTCTTTCCTTATAAAAAATGATAAACAGAACAATGAAACTGACTTTCAAAACTAGTTATTAGGACAGATTGAATAGTTAAAACGTTGTGTATTTTCCTCTTCCTAGTAGTTATTCAGAGTAGAAGATATATATATATATATATAAGATATATATATATATAAGATATATATATATATATATAAGATATATATATATAATATTTTCTATACAATATTAGCACAAGACTTTCTAATGAACTAGAGAAATTAGATGTATAACAATGTTAACTGTTGTGTATACATATATTTTTTTTCCTTTTTTCCTTTCTTCATTTCCCTTTCCCCATTCACAGTTTGTCTTTTCTTTTGAATAGTTTCTTCCCAACTTGCAATATCTATTCTACATTTCAAATCTCTTTTACTTGTTTGTTTGACACACCACTGAGACAATATGATGTTTACACATATGAGTCTGATTTATTTCATTTGTCAGTATGGTCTCTAGTTGTATCCATTTAGATATAAAAGCCTCAAGTTTATCCTTCTTTATAGCTGAGTAATACTCCATTGCATAAAATTACCACATCTTTTTTCTCCATTCCTCAGTTGACGGGCATTTGGGCTGTTTCTAAGATTTAGCTATTACAAATTGTGTTGCTATAAACATGGATGCACATATATCGCTGTGGTATACTTCAGTTCTTCAGCAAAAATACCCAGAAGGGGACTAGCTGGGTTCAATGGGATCTCTAATCCAAGTTTTGTTGAGGAATCTCTACACTGATTTCCACAGTGGTTGTAGCAATCTACACTCCCACCAAAAGTGGAGAAGGGTTCCCTTTTTCCTTGATACTCCTCTAGTATTTGTTATTTGTTGATTTCCTGATGATAGCCATTCTTTCTGGGGTGAGATAGAATCTCACTGTTATTTTAATTTGCATTTCTGAAATAAGCAATACTGTTGAAATTTTTTCCTATATTTATTTGTCATTTGTATTTATTCATCTGAGATGTGTGTATTCATATCAGATGCCCATTTTTTGAATGGGTCTTTGAATTTTTGGGGCCTGTTTCATTTTGTTTCTTTATATGTTCTAGAAAGAAGTCCTTTGTCTGAGGAACAGTTGGCTAAAATTTATTCCAAATTTGTGGGTTTTCTTTTCACTCTATTGGTGATTTCTTTTGATGTGCAAAAACTTTTAATAGGATGAGATCTCAGTTATTGATTCTTTGAAGTATATCTCATGCAGTTTGGTTTTTGTTCATGAACTCTCTGCCTATGCCTATGTCTTCAAGGTTTCTATCTACTTTCTCTTCCAGCAGATTTAGTGTTTCTGTTTTAATATTTAGATCTTTAATCCATTTTGACTTTAATTTAGTGCATGATGATAGACATGGGTCTAGTTTCAATACAGTTCTGGAAATAGTTAGAGCAATTAAACAGGAGATAGTAATAAAAGGAATAAGAATAGGAAAGGAAGAAGTAAAACTATCACTATTTGCAGATGACATGATAATTTACATGGAAGATCCCAAAACCTCACCAAGAGACTCCTAGAATTAATAAACATATTCAGTAGCATAGCAGGATATGAAGTCAGCACTCAAAAATCAATAGCCTTCCTGTACACAAGCAACAAACTCACTGAGAGAGATATTAGGGAAACCACACCCTTCACAATAGCATCCAAAAAAAATAAACTACTTAGGAATAAATCTAACAAAGGAAGTAAAAGATCTATACACTGAAAATTACAACATTCTGAAAAAAACAGATCAAAGAGGATCTTAGAAAATGAAAAGACATTCCTTGGTTATGGATAGGAAGAGCCAACATTGTGAAAACGACCATACTCCCAAAAATGTTACACAGATTTAATGCAATCCTGATCAAAATACCATTGGAATACCTCACAGATCCAGAGAAAACATTCCTAAAATTCATTTGGAATGAGAAAAGTCTTAGAATACCAAAGATAATCCTTGCCAACAAAGGCTATGCAGGAGGCATCACAATCCCTGATGTAAAATTATACTAAAAAGCTCCTCTGATTACATCAGTATGATATTGGCAAAAAACAGACCTGCGGATCAATGGAACAGATTAGAAGATGCAGACACAACTACAAACCCACTCAGCCACCTTATCTTTCACAAAGGGGGCCAAACATATTCACTAGAAGAAAGATAACCTCTGCAATAAGTGGTGCTGGAAAAACTGGCTTTTCACATGCCTGAAACTAAAACTTGAATTTCTTTTTTAAATCTATGAATTTATCAAAGATTAGCTCACCCTTTTTTAAATGGAATTGAAGCTATCCTGACTTTCTTTGTAAGTTTTGAATATGTTGTTTTAAAAGGCGTTAACTGTATAACTGTAAAATTTGCTGAAAACTGAGTTTTAAGCATTCTTTTTTTTCTTCTTTTTTGGGACGAGGTTGCAGAGTATTGTTTTATAATGTTTTTAGTTTTCTTAGTTCTTTTCTGACCTCCTCCTCTTTTGTGGTGACAGATGCACAAGTGTTTATACCTGACTATTGTGAAACAGTGGAAGTTTCCCTCTTTGATGAAACTGAAGGTATGAGAGAAAGTGAGCAAAGAGATGATCCATTTTGGACATTAGGAGATCAAGGTAATTCCAGAAATCATAATTCCAGGAGTCCAAGTTCAGAACATGAACATTTATCATTTTCAAGAAAACTCAGTTAACATATAGAAAATCCATAGTCTGAGTTAACATTTGCAACTTCATCTACAGCACAAGAAAGTACAACTGAAGCACTAATAGAAGACTCATCTACCAAAACACGAAGATCCAGAAGTAGGAGACGAAGAAATCGCAGAGCTAGAAGAAGAGATGAAAATTCTTTACATCCATATGTAAGAAGTGAATGTTTAATGAGATTTCATGACAGTACGTCACCTATGACTTTTGAGCAGGTGTCAATAAATGCCTCTAGAAATGAACCACGTAAGACATTCAGACACCAGATACCTAGACCTGTGTTACAAAATAGAGAGAGGTCTGCAACTTATGTACCATCCAATCAGTTTTCAGGACAATATTCTACACACACAGCCAGAAACAGGAAACCTACACAACCGAGAACAAGGCATACGTTATTAGCTCCTGATCTTCAGATCAACAGCTTTCCTGGAGAAGATTCTCCAAGTGATATAAGTCCATTCAGACCCAAGAAAGCATACAATAGTGACAATGTAGAAAATGTTCTAGACGAGGCCAGAAATATATTTTCACGTGCTGAAGAGGCAGGTATAAGAAGTAATGTTGGTACCCTCAGAAGACCTGCTTTCAGAAGTTCAAATACTGGTTTAATTGATACAAGGTCTGTTGCAACTCAGAGAGGAACTTTAGGGCGGAGAATGACAGGATCTGGTAGATGCAGTAATCTGATGAACACTGATAGGGATGTACAGCGTAGGGGCTTACCCCCAACTCAAAACACGTGCATGGCAGAGTCACAGCGTAGAAGAAACAGTTCTAATTTCCGTCGCAGGGTTGAACCTCATCGTGGTGCAACAACCACTTGCAATCCAAGCTCCCGCTGCACTCCAGGTCCTAGTAGTCACCCTATGTTCAGTGCCAGGTCTCACAATGAAAATCCAGAAGTTGCCTCAGAGACGTTTGAAGGCATTAATGAGAGACGAGCACCAGTAGGCTCACGATCACAGCCCAGACAAGGACGTCAACATGCACGTTGGCTAACTAAATGAACCTAACTAAAATGTACCCCAGCTCCCCTTAGGTGAGCTAGTCCTTATTGGTGAAAGTATTTTTCACCCACCTAGAAGATTTACAAAGCAACAGACTGACAACTTGCCAGTAAGAACATTTAGAAAAACTGATGCTCTTAAGTACTGTGCTGTTTATATTACACAATACGAAAAAGGCCATAAGATTCGCATACTAACTTGTTCCCATGAATATTACAGTCACTGCCTTGCTCCTTGGCTATCGGACAATTCTACCTGTCCTATTTGTCACAGTGACATAATACATTATAAGAACAGAGAAAATTCTTAAGTTGAGAACCCTCAGCAATGTCAAATTACACTGATGAACAAATAATAGTCACTTGCTTTCAGTTTACTTTTTTTAAAAAAGAAGAGAATAGTTTAAAAAAAGTAGCTAAATACCAAACTCACAGTCAAAAACAAAATGAGGCAGAAATATTAACAATGATACAGGATTTCAAGACAAAATGGTAGGAATTAACAGTGGTTGTTGTTTTACATATTGTTATCTTCAATGAAGTTGCTCAGTTAGCAGATGTAAGGATACCAGATTGAGCAAACCATTAAGGAGAATAAAAAATAATAATTAAAAAAACAGAGATGATACAGAGTTTCACTAGACAAGATAGTAGGAATTCAGCAATGGTTGTTATATTGCATATTGTTGTTGTCTTCATATCAGTTGCTCAGATTATCCGATATAAGCATGCAAAATTGGTCAAAATAAAAAAAATAAGCATTAACTGTTTCCTTCAATAAACTGCCTTTGAAGTGATATTTGTACACAAAATAACAACCTGTACTGAATAATTTGTTAAAGAACAAATTACCCCAGTTTCTGTTTTCAAAATAAAAAGACATTTAAAAAATGGTGTCTTACCTGACTTTAAAAAACAAATACCACGTTGTAGCAGCTCACTGAATTTCAGTAGAAATTTAGCAGTTATACTGGGTGGGGATGCCCTGGATTTCCTGAAAGATTTAGCATTTTCAGCCCACTGTCAATGGGCCCTAATGCTTTAGGCACCACATAGCATGGCAGGAGCATGGGGTGGAGAAAGTTGCTCACTTCATAGTGCCTGGGAAGCAGAGAGAACAAGGGGCTGGAGACCCAATACCTCTTCAAGGGTATATTGCCAATAAAAATTTTCACCTACTAGGCCCCACCTTGTAGGCTGATGATCAAGCTATATTAGCATTCCTCTTGCTGCAATAGAATACCTGACACGTGCAATTTAAAGGAGAGAAGGTTTATTTTGGTTCACAGTTTTCAGAGGATTCACTCCATGGTGGATTGGCTCCAAGGAAGACATGGCATGGCAGACAGGCATAGCAGAAGAAAGCTTCACCCTTTGGCAGCCAGGAAGGAGAGAGAGAGAAAAGGGAGGAGCTGGGGACAAGAAAACACGCTTCCCAGGTCATGATCCCAGTGAGCAACCTCCAACAACACCCAGCTTCCTAACATCAGATGAACTGCTGAACTCATCAATGGATAACCCACTGATGAGTATAATACCCGCACGGCCTAGTCATCTTTCAAAAGCCCCACTTCTGAATACATGAGACTGCTGGGGGACATTTAGATCTAAACCATAAAACAAGCCTTCAACACACAAGTTTTTGGAGGACATTCAAGAACCACTATACCATTCACCCCTAGCCTGCACAGGTTCACATCTATAACCATAATGCAAATGAATTTAGCCCATCACGAAGAGTCCCCAAAGTCTTTACTGTTTTAACATTGTTCAAAAATCTAAGTCCAGTGTCTCCTCTGAGACTCAAGGCAAACTCTGAGGTAAGCCCCTGTAAAACTCAAGTAAGTTACATACTTATAAAATTCAATCTCATGGGATAAACATTCCATTCCCATTACAAAAGGGAAGAATAGGAAAATAATAAAAAAGAATCAAAAACCAAGACTGATACTTAACAACAAACATTAAATCTGGGGCTGGGGATTTAGCTCAGCGGCAAAGCGCCTGGCTGGCAAGCGCAAGGTCGTGAGTTCGGTTCCCGGTACCGGAGAAAAACCAAACAAACATTAAATCCATGAACAGTATCAGGCACACATATGGGCATAATATTATCTCCAAAGGGCTTGGGCATCTCCACCCTTATGACCTTACTGGTTAAGTCCATATAACTACTCTCTTTGGGTTTCTCTGCTCACTGCTGACAGTTTCACCAAGCAAGCATCCCGTGTTCATGTCATCTCTAATTTCCTAGGCTCTCTAAGCTTTGGACTTAGAAACCACTCTGGGACTGCTTGCAGGGCCTCTGACCTTAAAGCATACTACCTGGCTTCCCAAGCTTTCTTGTCTATGGAAGCCTCCATGACCCCATAACTTTTGTATTTTCCTTGTCCACAAAACCAGCATAAAGTGAACAGTGTTGATGTCTGCTGGTGCCAGGAGCTGAACAAGAACTTACTTGAGCCATGCTGCAGGGGGCCACTGAGTACATTGATGGCTGGACATGGGGAAATGAATCCCAGAGAAATAATTTTCTAGCGAGCCCTATCAGCACGGTATGCCAGAGCTCTCATCGCAAAGGAAAGCTTTTGATATGTGGTTAATGTCATGCCCAGTGGGTGAGGTCATTAGCAGTAGGCCCAGAAGGAAATCACAGAAGCCATATTCATCTGCACTGCCCATCCCAAAAAACATGACCACATTTGCATATGCCCTGCCCATTCAGAGAAGTACAACCATACTATCTCCACCCCAAAATTCCTCAAGGCGGTAAACTCCTCCCCTCCCCTTTAAATCCTTGGTTCTACCCTGGCTTCCTGTTGATTCCACTCTCCAAACTCTGCGTGCTCACAAAGAAATGAATTAATAACCATTGTTAGAGTTCATACATTGTGTCAACTTGAGTTTAGAAGCTTAACTAAGTAACTCAGCAGTTCTACATCCTGGGGTGAAAAATGCACGCCCTTATGCTCTAGGATGTTGTTCGTTATGTCAATTTGAGAAGTTTAGAAAGTTAACTAAGTGATTCAGCAACAGGTCAGTGTCCTTTGTAAACGTCCTCAGCTTGTGGAAGAGGAAGGCACAGAGAAGGTGTGGTCACGGGCAGATACCTGATATACAATATAAGGGAGGAAAAGAGGCTTGCTTCTCCACCCCTTGGGCTCTTGCTGTTTTTGCTGTCTTCTGCTGCCTTGGACTGTTGCCCGTATGCCCTGCCACCTTGCCTTGGAGCCAGATGATTATGGACTGAGACCTCCACAAACTGTGAGCTGAATAACCCTTTCCTTCCTTAATTTTGAGAGTCAGGCATTTTGTCCCACCCACGAGAGAAAAGTGACTAAGACAGCCATGGTTGCTTATACAGAGCTTTGTCAGGTGCTCTCTCTGCCCTCTGTGAGTTTAACATTTATGGTGCGGAGACTGGGGATAGAGTGTACCTCTTTTCAGAGGGATTTTAAGTCCTGTCTCGAGCCTCCAGTGTCTTAAAGAAGCCACCTTACGACTTTGACTTTTCAGACCGTGCCCCAGACACTCCCACTGGCTTTAGATCAGGTAAGACTTCTCTGTCTCCCCTCTTCATGCCTTTAACACCCTCTTTGCCTTTAAGACTTTTCCCTCTGTCTCGAGCTCCCGTCTCCCCACCATCCACAGCCGCTCATAGAGGGAGAGGAGCAGGAAGGAGCCCAGTGCAAGCCTAGGTCTCCTGCCACTGCCTCATGACTTTTCCCTCCTTCCTGCCACTGCTGCTCTCCCTGAGTCAAGCCCCTCCCCAGGAGAGCCCCAGCTGCCCCTCCTGTTTGCCAGTCCTGGGCTGGAGGTCTCAGGCTGTGCAGCACCAGGACCAAGTAACTATACCTGGCACACCCAGCCTACCTCTCCCAGAGTGCGTATGCCACCTTCACAACCCTGGGGGCATGACACAGCAGGCACCCAGTGCTGCTACAGAGGGCAAAGTCCAGCTGGTGCACATGCGTACAGTGGGACCACAGCACCTGCATGTACAGCCTGCCCTCTGCTGCCTGGAAGCTGCACACAGTGCCTGGGCACCCAGCCCTCTACCCGTACAAGCTCGCTCAAGTTCAGACTGGGTAAGGAAAACGTGAGCCTGAGCCTTACTCACCCCACCCTGCGCCACTAGAAATCCAAACACACAGCAGGCCATGCCCCTGGCCACAGGGAGAGTGCTGCATCCCTAGCCTTGGTTTTCCCCCAAAGCTGGCCCACATCGTGCTACCCTCGCCCTCTCTGATGCTGTGCCACACGCCAGCTGCCTGACTCCACAAGCAAGCTGCTCTGTACCCAGACTGAGCGCACCCAGGACTGCCTTCCGAAGGCCCACTGCCATTCCTACCACCATGGGTCAGGCTGTGGAGCTCCGGCTGCTTGGGTGCATGCTGCTCCTTCCCTCTGCCCTATGCTCTCCCAGCCCGCGCCTCACCACACACCTGGGCCAGACTAACTACTCCCTTGCCTGCTGCTTCTCTATACCCACTGCACAAGCGAGGCTCTCTGTCAAGACTCTCCCAGGTCAGCCAGTGTCTGAGCTCTCTCTTTTCAGACTCTTAAAATCCCAGTTTTTCCCAAATCCCAAACTTGCTGAGAGTTAACTTAGAGCACAAGGTGACCTCTCCTCACTTGTCTTTTCAGACCTTAAAAGAGGCCGTGTTACACCTAGAAATGCTCAAAATCACTAGACACGCCCCACTCATCCTCTGCTCATCCCATGACCTTCAGGGGCTTATGTCTTCCTCCCACTTCTCACAGCACTCGTCCCTCTCCTGCCTTTCCACCTTTCTGCCCACTGGGACAGAGGGGCTCACCCTACTTTCTGCTTCTGTGCTGTGTAAACCGAATCCTGGTCACAGAAACACCCTCTGTGATGAAGTGTCCTGCCTTGATGTTTGGCTAACTGTGGGAACACTTGCCTTGGCCGCTCATCCGTGCTCTGTTAAGGCCCCGAGTCCCAGCTAGAGATGTCCATCCCTGGTGGACCTTGTTGCTGCTCTTAATTTGACACGTGGAGCATGACAGTTACTTCTCTCTGCTCTCCATGGGAAACCTTCCTTCTTCAATTCCCTCTTCCCCTCCCCTAGCCTGTCTCTTAAAAAAAAGTCACACCTCTTCATCAGTAATCCAATCTGAAACCCACACATCCAGGATTCTTCTGCAACACCGAATGGCCACAGTACAAACGGGTCAAGGGCTCATACTGGCCAGAAAATAGCACTTTTTATTTCTCTATTCTGAGGGACTTAGACAATTACTGCTGGAGATTAAGCAAATGATCTGCATTGTCCTATGTCCAGGCATTATTTACGCGCTGTAATGTTTCCACTTCGTGTGCCCCATGTGATTCCTGTCAAATCCTTCTTACCTGTCTGCAACCCGCCCCCCTCCAGAGGCAGACCCCTCTCTGACAACAGATCCAAGCGACCTTGCTCTCCCGTGTCAGCTCCCTGAACCTGCTGTGGTGGCTGCAGGCACCTGGCTCACTGCCCTCCCCCAGAGCCTCCTGCCATAGCTGAAGGCACCACTGCTCCCTCACTTCCCCCACAAGCTCTGGCTGCCCCGGCTTCCACATCCCCTCCTCCCTCTCCGTCAGCGCCTCCTGCTGCTACA